GAAAGAGACAAAAGACATTCTTCAACTTCAGTCAAAACAACGTAGCCTAGAAAATGTTTCCTCCCTAATTAAGAATCTGGACAACATTGTGCATGAAACTGCTCTGACAAGCTCCTATAAAACATAATCTTACCTCAGGCACAGAGGGAAGTAATGAGTGCAGAAATTCCCCTTTCCCGGTTATAAGGGCTAATAGATTAGGGAAGCCTCACAGCTTCTAGATCCAGCACATCTGCTGAACTCCAAACACACTGGTTACCTCAGATACATAGTTGAACTAATGAAGCATTTGCTCTTTAGTCTCTGAGCTCAGTGTGCTGTTCTTCAGCTAATTAAAAATGGAGCCAGTAAAGTAATTTTCCTTTTGCGTTAACTTAGTGTTATTATTCCCTTCCTGGAAAATGGTGGAACAATGAAATAAAGTAGAGTTTGTTTTCCACAGCATTCTCAAGTCCCAATTTATGCTATCAGAGCAGAAAAAGAGATCCTAGAAAATAGGTGTTAGATGTTGGATACCAGATTGGATAACAGATTTTCTAATTTAAATCAGATACCAAATTTCTAATGTAGAAAGGTTCAGAAAGATCCCCCAGTTCTGATGATTTTACATTCTTTTTCCACCGCAAACTTGCAATGCAGTTAACATCTGCCGCAAGGATACATCACTTTTATTCTGCCTGAAATTAAAGGGGAAATAACGACCTGTGTCTCTCAAATCACCAGCTCTGGTCCTGGCCAGCTTGGCTTTAGCACTGTCATTGGCATGAGGGTCATCCTCATTGGTGAAAAGCATGATCCTTTTGTGGCTCAGTCTGACTCGGACATCACTGAAGAGATTAGAGCAGGCCCAGAGCGCTTCACCCAGTGAATAGTCAGCATTGTGGCCAAAGGTCTCACGGAAAAGTGCTCGTCCGTCGTCTCCCCTGTAGTGATCCAGCTCTAGAACACGCTTTGCACCTAGGGGCAACAACAGCATTCACGTGCATTAGAAATACTGAAAGAAGCACCGCAAACTCTTCTAAACATGCACCAAGGGTCCCTTGCAGCCGACATCTGCGTAATGTCCCCTAGCACCTCTGTGGCGGTGCCCTTCCAACACCTGGATGAGAAAATTGTTCCGGATAGCCTAACATTTGCAATACTGCAAGCCGGTTACCACTTGAAAGCACCCACTAGGGCCAAGAGGACACAAAGTGCCCTGGCACCTTCCTGCTGGGGGAGGGAAAG